TCATACAGTCTACCTCCGTGCCTAACTCAGACTGGCTGTCGAAGCGACACGATGGAAAGTGACACACCAAATTAAATCGGTGTTGGTTTTCAAACAATATTTGACACACACATTGATGACATGTACTCAGAGCCAAAATGCGCATCCTAAATGCTCTACTTCTTTTGTAGCAAAATGAATTCCACTAGCTCTGTAAATGCGCACTCTGGAATGACCAATACGTCAGTAATTTATCAAGATTTTATCAAGGTACCAAGTGTAAACCAAGGAATAGGTTATGATATTTAATATAGTTATTTTATTTATTGATACAAAACTTTTGAAAATACAGGAGTAATGTCAATAATACTACAAGACAACAAACAAGTGATTAACAGTATAAGATAAAAATTACATACAAGTTACTAAATTAGATTTAGAAACTACGAGATTCCCTGTCTATTAACTTACGAAAATAAAGTACATCTATAATTATACTATGGGGTGCTGCGGTTTTATTTTTTGTGCAATGTTGAAAAAAGATTGTGGTTATGCTGAGCCGACAAGAGATAATGATGTTTCATAATCAAGTTGTTCTTTTACAAATTTGGTCAATGCAATATTCATTGCAATGTTTTTTTTTATTTCCCGTTACCATTAAACACTTGTTCTCTTCTGTCAAATTTATGAAATCATTTATTTAATTTCCGGCTTCCTCATATAATTTATTTCCTCGGTCGTTATACAAAGGGAAAGTTGTTATAAAATGGCGTTCGTCTTTATTTTTTATTCCAATGAATGAAGAATATTTTTTCTAATTTTTTTCGTTAATTGTCGTTGTTTAATGCTTGTAACTGTAACTTCTTTGTCGATGAATTACGTTTCATAAATCTAGTCTAGATGGGAATTTATTACGCAATACCATTTACTATTCAGGTGTCTAATTAATATGCTGCTTCTTTCGCAAGTTTGTTTGGTGTGTTCATTACTCGGTTATAGTATTTAATCATTTGTCTTTTGCTAAAAAAACATCTATTGGAAGGCATCGAGCCAGTTGTCCATATATTCCCATTATGGGTGTGTTTTCTTCACGTCGAGGACGAATCGTGGAATTGTAGATGAACATTTTCTACGTCAGATTTGTAAGAACTCTCGTCTCCCCAAATAGAACTACCGTATATTAGTATTGGTCTAATTAATCTATCGAGGAAGGACAAAATTGTTTTGTCTTTTTCTTTTTAAAGAATTTATCGCTTCATTGTATTTACTATTGGTGCTAGACTGTCGACAGTCTTCGGACCTAATGTAATTGATATCCTTTGAACTGCGAAGCATTTCACGCGAGGGACTTTAGTCCCGAGAAGACTGTCCCCGTCTGCAGGTTTCTAGTTGATATGAATAATTCATAGTTTATGCTGACGCCACGAAATAAATTATATGCACATTTATTCTAAATGACCTCCTGAATGCGTGGGTTGTTTGCGTTATGAAAACAATGAATACAGTCACTCCAACCAAAATAACAAAGAAAACTAAATTAAATCGCCTAGAACTAAATAAACAACGTGCATTGTTTGTGGCAGTCAAAACAAATATAAAAAAAACACGGGATCGATGTTTCGCGGGATCAACAGAACTACGACATGCGAAGATATCGAATTTGTTGAGGCAGAGAAGATCGATCTACACATTGCAGTTCGTAGGCGTGTAGAAAATGTGGACTGAGAGCGTCGACTCTGCATAAAACATAGATGAGTTCAGAAAGAAATTTCAACAAACCATGAAAGGTTCGTTAGTATCTTCCATGAACAAACTAAGCGAGAGTTATTGGAAACCGTGTTCACGATTGGGCACAATAAAATTATAGACTATTCTCTGCGACTATTCATTTGCATATAAAAGTACCCGGACCTGGTAAGAAATCTTACTTCCTGTTCCGGCGTTCGCAATTTATTCACACCTATTACGTTTATACACAATATTTAATAATAATTAAAGTGCCTGACTATACTTCAGCAGCTGCTTTGTTATTATGTAGCAGGTTAATAGCTTTTTATAATTTCGTTTTTTATGATTGATTGGTGTCATTAATCGCGTTGTATTTCAACTCTTTTAGTTCATGAGTGATATTATTGTTAGGAGCATTCTTATATGTTTTAACGTCGCAAGATGGATTTAATAGTTTATTGAAATAAATAAACCACTCAGTAGGTGTTGTTAAATTAATTTGTTTGTGTATGTGGTGTGTCGTTGTTCATTTCTTGTAATATTGTCCAGAATTTAGCAGGCTCATCTTTTGAGCTCTCCAGATTCTACAGTTGTGAAGCCTTGAGTTTTTTCTTTCGATGACTTTTTTATTTTTTTCTGACGATGAAGAATTTACCCTTAATGAATATATATATATATATATATAGTTTTGAACTCGTATTTAAGGAATCTACAGTCTTGATCAAACCATTTCTTTTTATTATTTGTTTAATGCTTGTTATTTTGTTTTGTTTTTGTGGTTTCATTTTCAGACTTTTATCCGCCAAAGAACATAGAAGTGATACAAAATCCGAAATAGCATTCATTGAGGCACCACAATTGTAATACTTGATAATACAATTGTAATACTTGATAATACAATTGTAATACTTGATAATACAATTGTAATACTTAATAACTTGACCAATTTCGTTATGCTCTCTCGCCTGGGATAGGAAATTTGTTCTTCCTTCGTTCGTTGTCCCATGTGTGTTAAGGGTTGGCGATGTAGTTTGTGTTTACTCTCCACCTTTGAGTAAACAGCTGCGTTATTTACTTTTATTGAGAGTGAGGCAATAGTCTGAAATATGGGTTATATCTTGTATTTTAAAGTACTGAAAAAGCTTGTGTAAACACTTTGACGATATTGCATATTATTTTCTTCTACTGCCACTTCGAGTGTGGCAAATGAAATTTCTCAATGAATCTCCGACGGTACGGCCGTTTAAAACGAACAAATTACAGTCAAACAAAGTTGGATTAAGGTAGCAGAATAGTTTTTTTGGCACTTTTCACATTTTTTTTTGAAAATCACACGAATAGTTCCCTAAGGCATGCTACATGCATTGGTGTATTTATTTTATTGAAAAAAAAAAATATCTTGTACAAGTAAACTGATTTTTTTCTTGTTTGCAAACAAATGGCCAAGTTTTTGTTTATCCAGTGTACACCCAACTAGTGCATCTCATTAATATGCATGGTTTACAAACATAACTGAACTGAGGGTAAATAGTTGGGCCACTTTCTTTATTTGCTATTTACAAACAACTGATAAGATATCTGTTTGTAGTTTACACACAGCTGATAAGATGTGTGCACTGCTGCTTTTCTAGATGAGGAAGTATAGCAAAGACAAAACAATCGCTTTTGAAAGACAACACATTTTGAATAAACAAAAAGTACATGAATGTACCACTTCAATGTAATTATGTGTTAACAGAATAAAAACTTACAATAAATTTCTGTAATATTTTTTCTTGGCTTTGTCATTGAAAGGTGTCTGACCACGGGGTTACTTTCTTACAGTCCAGAAGTAATGCAGTTACATGGGGGGGGGGGAGGCTTCCTTTGCATTGCATGAAAATT